GCCTAGGGGCTCCCTCTCCCCGTGGCTTTGTCTGCGCCGCGAGTCTGTGTGCGTCTCTGCCTCACGGAGGGAGTTCGGGTCAATCGGCCCCAACGGACGTCTACTCATCATGCAATTGCCATGCCATGCAGGCCGCTGTGGCTGTGTCCGCTCTGCGCTGTTGGTGTGTCGCTGTGCCCGCTGAGCGCGTGTTGTCTGCTGTGCGTGTGTGTTCAGTCTGCTCGCTGAGCGCGTGTTGTCTGCTGTTGCTGTTTGCTGCTCTGCTGTGTAAAAAAAAAAAGTGCGCCCTGTAGTCACAAATCAAGTCCTGTACTCTAAAACCTAGTTTAAGCGAACACAACACACGCACGCACTTTTTTTCCTGCATCGGCCCCTATATTGCGCTGAGCCCTCTCAGGCAAGATTAGAAATCTCGCTTCGCTCGAAATATATATATATATATCTTGTGGTTTTCTCGGAATGCATCAGAAGTGCGGCGGGAATCGTGGTCTACTGCTCCCAAACGATTTGTGACAAACCACAAATGCGTCATTGAAACTGGATGTAACAAGCTCGCAAAGGGCCCCCGACAAGCTGCACTGAGCTGATGTTGTTCCCGCCAATATGTGGCCAAAACGCTCCGGGCGTGTGAGAAAAAATGTTCTCGGCGTCAAAAAGAGATCAAAACGTGCGTCAGCGCTTCCCGATGGCAAAAAGTCGGCCGCTTGAGAGGAGACGTGAGTACAAAACTATCCAGCTCTCGCCCGTTAGACCATCGATGCATGTAGTGTCTTCTTGGGCGTCTTGTCCATCAACGGCTCTCATCCGGTTGCGCGTGGCTTGGCAGCGGCCGTGGTCAGTCGGCAGAGAGGCATATCGTTCAAAGTTGTGGACATGACGTTTTTTCCGGTCTCTTTTTTCACTTGATTAGACTATAGAGGACTTGTTCCTCCGTCCCATTTTTTTTTTTTCAACACATCGAGTTCACAGCGCCGCGCCTCCCTGCCTGTTGAGCACTTCCACTGCTGAACCACGCACACCCGGATGAGACAACATGAATCGATGGTCTAGAGGACGAGAGCTGGATAGTTTTGTACTCACGTCTCCTCTCCAGCAGCCGACTTTTTGTCGTTCGGAGACACAAACCACGTTTTCTCCGTGCCCTCCAAACCACCCCTGTCAGTTTTTTTTTTTGTGCACGCTTGACGAGCTCCCGCCATATTGTATCAGTCGGCAAAACGTTGACACGGTGGCTCTAAGGTTGTCCGGATCCCTCTTTGAGCTCTGCGTTGAGTGCGCGCTGCGCAGTGCTTGGTGTTTAGGACGGAAGGGGCGGGCGGCTATTAATCTCGCCGCTCTTGGAAAAGATTTTCTCGACCTGCCCCATTTCAAAATGTTTGTCGAACATTTCGTCGGACGAGCGACTGTTGCCCCATTTGAAAATCTCTGGGAAGATTTTGCCAAAGATTTTTTCCCCATGGAAAAGTGAAACAATATCTTGCTCCGCAAATCTTTAAAACTTTCGACATTTTCGTAAAGATTTGGTGACCATAAACATGGGGCTATGGCGTTTCTCCGCTCGGAAAGAAACACCTTTTTTTGTGTGTTTGTGGCCGGTGCTAGTTTGGCGTGTATTTTTGGCCGCGTCTCGATTTTGGGTGCTTTGGTGGCGAGTAGTACCGTTCGGTGCTTAATGCTTTGTGGGTGAATTTGGAGAGAGAACACGTTCTCTGGACATTATCTTCAGGGCCTCTTTTGCTTTCTCTACTGTTCACGGTATGGTCGTGGTTCAGGATTAGTGGCCCATGGTGTCACAAAATACCAGCCTTTCTTCGGAGTTTGCGCTCGGTTCATGCTAGCTTCGGCGACCTGCGCTCTTTTGATTTTGTCGCACGCAAGCTTTTCTTCAGTGGTTTGTGCTCGGTTTCTACTAGCTTCAGCGCGTTACGCTCTGTTGCTTTTGTCGCACGCAAGCTATGCTTCTGTGTTTGTGCTCGGTTTTAGCTAGCTTCTGCGCGTCACGCTCCACTGCCTTTGTCGTACGTACGTAAGCTTTTCTTCTGTGTCCACTGCCATTGTCGTACATACGTAAGCTTTCCTTTTGTGATTGTGCTCTGTTTAGGCTATGCTTCGGCGTGTTACGCTCTGCTGCTTTTTATGTGGGTGTATTTCTGTCGTGCGAGAAGCACAATGGGCCTCAACCCCAGCCTTCATCCCTGCTCGTTATCACAACCCACCGTCAGGAGTTGCTTCGAGGCTAGGCGCATTTCGTTTTCGTTGAGGCAACTTCTGGTCGTACGTAAGCTCTTCTTCTGAGTTTATTGTGGTCGTTTTTGCTGGCTTCGGCGTGTCCTGCTCTATTGCTTGTGTCGTACGCAAGCCCTTCTCCTGAATACTGTGCCCGGTGTGTGCTAGCTTCGGCGTGTTACGCTCTGTTGCCTTTTTGTGTATGTTTTTTCCGTGCTAAAAGCACAATGGCCCATCAACCCTCGCCTTCCTCCCGGCTCGTGATCACACGCCACCGGTAGGAGTTGCTAGCAAGATGGCAGCAACAGGACGACAGCAAAGGCAGCAGCTGAGGCTCTTCCTGCAGCGAGTTCCGTGTCCTGCCAAGAGGCCCCTCTACTGGGAGCTTGACGGGGGGGAGTCGTTGGGAGTCGTGCTCAAGGGCAAGGTACCTCATCTTGACGGAAGCGTGATTGGATGCAAGGGGCCTGTCTTGTGTTGGGATACCTTCCCGAGATAAATATGTACCGTGAATGACACAAGATAACACCCCCTGGACCGATTTTCGAATCCCGATTTCTCAACAACAGAAAGAGTCACGGCGCCGAAAACGGCGGCGTTGGAACCTTCTCGTCGAGAGCTTTTCGAAAATGTATCGTTTCGTTTATGCATCCTCTTCGCCGTGGAGTAATCGAGCTTTGAAAATTGGTCCAGGGGGTGTTATCTTGTTTTATATACGGTATATGAGGGTATAGAGCGGGGAGGGGGGACGCCGAACCTTTTCCCTCACCCTAACGCTCACCCAACGTCCCGGATTGCATGTTCATCCAACACATTTTCTTGATCACAATCCCTGTGGAGCTGCTGTCTTTGTTTGTGGGCCCCTGCTGCAAATGTTGTTGGGCTGGAGGGGGGGTTTGGCAGGCATCGGCGTGCCGTCCCATCCGTTCTCGTAGTTTTGCCCACACGAGCGCGAGCGATCTCACGCATCATGTCCCCTAGACTGGCTGTTTTTCTCCACTTGGCGCTCAAGGGGAAGGTGCCATCTTGAGGGAAGCGTAATTTCAACCACGGGACCCCCGTTTTTGTTCGTGGGACCGCCTTCCTTCGCGAGATCAATAAGTTTGAGGAGAAATAGAACCGGGAGAGGGGGGCGCAGACCCTATTCCCTAACCTAACCCATCTTCCTCGATTGTATGCTTCATCCAACATGCTGACTTAATCGAATTCCGCTGCGGAGGCTAGTGTGTTTGTGGGACCCTGGTGTTTTGCTTGCCTTAGACGTCAGACCATTCGAGAGGACGGCGCGTTGTTCCCACAGGACCTGTCACCGAGTGAGGAAGGGGGGGGGGCGTACTCTCATGTGGAGTAACAGTTTTGCAAGCATTTCCACGTTCATTCGCTGATGGGTATTGAAAGAATGGGGCCGTTGGACCAGCGCAACTTTTCTCTCTCTCCCTCTCCCCCCCCCCCCCCCCCCCCCCCCCCCCCCCCCCCCCCCCCCCC